CCCCCCCCCCCAAATTCTTTTTGCGTAATGCAGGAGTACAGGGTATCTCATCATTTTGGATCTCTGGCCCCCCGAAAACCCTAGTCTGGACTCCCCCCAAAAAAAATCCTGGGAACGCCCCTGATCGCTCCAATATCACGAGACGAGGGACTGAACGGTGCTGTGAATGCTCCACCAAGTCCCTTTTATCGACAATGTTTCATCTGACGCGTCTCTGATGGTGTGGAATCTACCGAGAGAAGACCGCTCCCGAAAAGTCGGTGAGCTTCTCTGCAACGGACGAATCAATTGTATAGCGTTGATCTGTCTTCGTCCTTCTGCTCTGCGATGACGGGGGGACTGGCGAAAGCTGCCGCCGGGTTTGTTTGGGCTCACGTAAGAAGACTGATAAGCGCCGATCACGTTCGGATATTCTCTGCGCACGTTATGTTCACAAGCGGTGACTGTGACCCGACTGTGTAGGTTTTTGAGTCGACCGCATCATCGATTGAAGCAACTTTCCGTTTCCAGGCAATTTTCCAATTTTTTTTCTCTCTAAGAAATCAGTCCGTGCATAATGTTATGATCAGTCGTCGCTGTCGTCATGTCTTCGTTCTGAGAGCGAAGTAATCGAGCTCCCTTGCAGACTTTCGATCGTATCTTCAAGCTCCTGGATAAACGCGCGTTTCCGATCAAGATCCGAGGCAAAGACACAATTCTTTCCACGCGATCGAAAGATCCCCGAATTCTCCTCCCCCTCGTGATCAAGGAGAAACCGTGTTCCCTCGTGGACGACGAGACGAAAGAATCTCTCCATGAAATCAAAAGTTTCTAGTACGCCGCATCTAGGTCTGAATAGTCTCGTCAAAGGCGGAATGGTGCCATTACATCCCGCAGCCGCTGTCTTGCTAACGGTATCGGTATGGTCAGCCCTCGATAAGACCCTTGATATTTATTGCTACGACTTTATCTTCCTTTTCTGCTTGTTGCGAAACGCTGATCGTATCTTGTTCTCGTTCCGTGACTGCCGATTTCTTCACACATGGAGCATGCTTGGGGAATTGAATCACGATTCTTCCGAAGATCGGAATCCCCAATGATTCTGGTTATTGTATGATTTTACATCTTTAATAACAATTATCCGCTTTGTTGTTCCCTCACAAAAGTTTATAGATGCTCGAAGTCTCAAGAGCCTGATGATTTCATGAAGCATCGCTGGATTATCATCGAATGGAACAAGACGCCTCGGAGAATCGATGACTAAAGCCCGCAACATCCAGTTGGGTTTCAATCCCTGAATGTTGATTCATTGAATTACTCCGTCCATGATACGAGCTTCGGACGCTGCTCGTTAGTTCTGCCATACGCTCATCTGTTTCACCGATGTCCGTGTTGAAACATTCAATGCGTGCTTTTTCTCCCATTGGCGCAACTGGTCCTGACTCAATTGCTGACATTTCTGACCGTCCGTGCTCATCTGCTGACCTCCCGTAAATAAAATCGAACCATGTCTGTCAATTTATCTTATGCTTTGTCCGCACATTACGAACGGCGAAACGCTCGTGTCGGAACAAGTCTGGTTAGTCCGCCAGCGGTCTCGCGCCCTCCAGGGCTTGCGAGCGTTCACAGCATCGTGCAGGAGCAGGCCTGAGTACCAGAATGAATCCGAGGCTACTTGCGGACGATTCAAGAATTCGACCCCGGGATTAGAGCTGCATCACGCTGCGAACTTCCGTGATCATCGCGCGAGCGAATACCCGGACGAGCTCGTATCTTGCCGGGGCTTAGGAGCGGCATCTCATCCCGGATGTCGAGGAACCTCGGGATAAGGGTTCTCTGAGCAGTGAATTGTTCCGCAGCTCCGACCCGATTCGGGTAGCGTGTGGAAACATTCACGGCTCTGGCCGCAGGGAGCCCGTGTTCGAGTTTCATTTGTCATGAGAATCGAGTGAGACCTGTTCTTGGCATGACGCTCCTTTCGAGCGCAGCGCTCATCGACTCTCGGAGTCTACCTTAAGCAAATCTGCGGAGCTCGCTGGTTTCCGGCGGTTCATTCTGATCCCAGAAATTAAACTATTCCAAGCGGTCCGTATGTCGTCGTAATTCTCGATTCAGAGAGAATTACTTATTCAGTTCAGTCGACTGGAATCGATGCCACCGTGAGTGACCGGAGTCATTCAAGACGGAGTCGTATCGACGGGTCCTGTATTCATTCGATAGAATCGACCGTGGATCACGGTCCCATGAGGAGATATGTACATCACGAACAATGGAGGTGCGAATCCGTCAACACTT